TCCCTACATCTCCTTTCTCTTCTACTATTTCCCTTTTTTCAATCCTACTCTCGTTCATTTCTCTCCGCATATTACTGATACGCCTCAGCGGTAATCTCTACGAGACTCGCGACAGACATCTACAAACTGTGTACTCTCTCGCCAGTAACTGTAGAGGCGGTTTTAAACACTTTTGTTTTCCTGTCTGTGTTTTGTTTATACTTTTTATGCTGTGTACTTTATGGATTTGTTTATAAATAAGCTATGTTATAAGTTCCGTTGGCTGGGTTTATTATTAGCCTCTGATAATGATGTGTGTGTGTGTGTGTGTGTGTGTGTGTGTGTGTGTGTGTGTACGTACAGCAACAGAAATACAGAATAAATCGCATAAAACACACACATTCACATGTCAAAACTGATAAAAATTTACAACCACACTGGAAAGCACGTAAGTAAACGCAGGTACAAGCATAGACTTACAAAAATAAACACAGGCAGTAAAAAAACAAACATAAATTACACCACACACACACACACAAAAAAACGAGAATTAGAATAACAATCAACAGTAAAGAAATGCTACCACTGACCAGGTAACAGTTAATGGCTCAGATCCTAGTACCACTACCGAGCTAAGGTTCCATCCCAGTGGTCTGCAGTTACGGTCAGTGTTGACATATGCCCACCAGTGTCATACCCCCCGGCACTTTCTGTTCTGTTGAAAGCGAGGAAATCGGTATCAAAGTGACTGTGTTACTAAAATAACTGACATAATAATTATCTCATGCTGGCAGTCGCACAGAAAGTCATCATGTGATAGAATCTGTTTACTACACCTTCATGTAGAGCAAAATAAGTAAACAATTGATAAAGGAATATGATAAACCAGGAATAACGTTAGAAGAAAAAGAGAGAGGAGAGGATAACATGATAAACCACGAGTAACGAGAGAAAGTGGGAGAAAAGCAGGAAAGGATGATATGATAAACCAGGAATAATAAGAGGATTGGAAGGGGATAATATCATAATCCAGGACTAACGAGAGACGCGGAGAAGAGATAAAATGATAAACTAGAATTAATGGGGGAAGCGTAGGACGGGTAAGATGGCAAGCCGAGTGTAACATAATGTTATGATAGTGTGTGCGTGTGTGTGTGTGTGTGTGTGTGTGTGTGTGTGTGTGTGTGCGTGTGTGTGTATGTGTGTGTGTGTGTGTGTGTGTTTGTGACTATCTCACTCTCTCTCTCTCTCTCTGTCAATTTTTTTTACCATCTTTGTCATTTCTGTTCCCTTTTCCATGTATTTTTGTTCCATTATCTCGTTCTCTCTTCTTCATTCCTTTCGATACTCCAACAGTGAAGCTCTCGTCCCCCTTCACAGAATTTTTGTTAATCAATTTCTGTTATATTTTGAACTTATCTTCTGTCCTTCACGGGAAAATACCATCGGGATGAATGAACGTTTGATGAGTTAACACTAAGCTTTCGGGTTAATCTACTTACAGGTGAGGTTATCTCCGTGGTTAATGTAAACACTTTACTTTACCTTAACATAGATTAATTTGGTGATGATCAACATGTAATGAAAGGTGAGGTAGAGAGATGGGACTCATGCCATAAACAAAGTATAAGAGGTAAACATGAAGGAGTGGATATGATGAAGTATGTGTGATAATGGGGTGAGAAAATAATTAATGGCCATCGTATTTCGAGATACAATACGAGTAACTACAACAAAT